ATGGTATCACCACTCACTCAAAACTGTTCAGTCCATTCACATTTGAGTCATCTATTTTCAGTGTCCACTTTGTCCACTTTCACACTTGCCATGTTTTTGCTGTCGCATTGTATATCTACACTGGACGTGACAAAGCATTGCAAATTATTTGAACTTTGTGTCAGCACGTCATATATAGAACGAGTCAGCAGTTTTCTGTCGGGGATTTATCGCGCTGCGCTGCACCGCATCCAGTGTAGACAGCATCACTGATTATAATAATTTCTATTGTATTTTGTTGCGTCGTGCCGCGCCACTCGCGTCCGGTGTAGACACGATGTAAGTTAATGCCGCTTTCTGATGCTGCGTTTGAATTTTCATGCCACATTAAAAAAAAAAAAAAAAATTCCAGGTAACTGGCTGAGAATCACTCACAAATACTAGATATCTATTTAGCGCTGATTATTATACTTAACATTGTATTTGACACTGTCATGCTAGATTATTAGAGTCTTAGATCTGTTATGTCGCTCTTGTGTGATTAAGCACTTGATGAGACATGCAGCTCTACAGGGTGTCTACCGGAGAGACAGCAGACGGGGATTGTCAGTGACAGTGCAGTCTTCTGTTATTTACACAAAAATTATGAAAAACATATGTCTATGTTGAAACCACAGGTATGTCACAGTTACAGTTTTTCATATGAAGACATTTTTCTCACCCCAAAACACACCCGTATGTAGTGCTGTGTAGCGTTGTGAGATATGATGCTGTGTTAGTGTGCAATGGAACAGTTTGAAACTTAAAATGAGTAATCTTTTATTTAATTAGTAAGTTTCTATATTGTAATCTGTATATTAGCCCATTTACATGTCGTTATTCATACCGTCATATTTAAATGGTTATATTAATTTAAAAATAATAATAATAATTCTACTAAAATTGAAATTTGACTTTAATTGAAGTAATAATAAATGTTAAATTGTTAATATTAAATAATATTAGAGTGTTATATTCATGTTAAATATTAAATTAGAATATAAATTACTTAAATGTTTCGTCCCCTTGGAATTATAAGGTTCTAACTGACATTTTTTGTCAAAATTTAGTTATTCACATATTCTTATTCTGTGACAATTTATTTACATTATGTGATAGATTTTTGAATGTTGTGTACATTTTGGGACTTTCTATTTACCCCGTTGAGCGGTACGGTCCCACATACGGGATTTAGAGCGTTCGGTGATGTCACATAACTGCCGAATTCAAACTGTGCTTTCGCGCTTTAGCTGGCGCTGAGCCAGAGAGACCAGGGCTCCGTTCAGCCCCGACAAAAACTGCTTTTGTTAGAATAATCAAAAGATGGTCACAAGATGAATATTCAGATTTTTCCCCCCAGTAGTCTGTTTTGTTCAAACAACGATGAACATTTTTGCATTTAGATACAGAAGAACGTTGCCTGTTGAATATTAAAAACAAATGAACAAACAAAAAATCTGGATCTCCATGTCTGACATGCAAATCAACTGTTCATGCGCATCTCCAGACTGGATCTCTTCTCTCCACTTTCCCTAATTGCAGATTCAATTATTAGATCTGTCAGCACAAGTGAAATAACATTTTTTCAGAGCAAAAAGGACCCGAACACCACATGAGGGTTAAACAAGCATTACATTGTACATTGTAACACATACATTGTAATTAGCCATATATAAATATAATAAAAATGTATTTAAATTATTTTCAATATGAATAATAATCAGGTTTTGCAAATTAAATGTTCTTTTACTGTTTTGATTTATATATATATCTATATATATATATATATATATATATATATTATAAGGTTCTATCTGACATTTTTGTCAAAACTGTAAGGGGTAGGGTTGGTGTAGGGCAATAGAAAATACAGTTTGTACAGTATAAAAACCATTATGCCTATGGAGAGTCCCCGTAAACCACGCAAGTGTGTGTGTAGATAAATAGATACTGTATCTACAGTAACATCTAATTTAAACAACATTTCATGAAAAAAGATACAATGAAAGTGAATAGTGATTGAGGCTGTCAGTCACTAGTGTCTTTGAGTTACAAAGAAGAAAGTCATACAGGTATGGAACAACATAAGGGTACAATAATTTTAATAAGAGTAAATTCATTTTCATTTTGGGGTCAATTATTGTGTTTATATATGAGATACACAGAACAATGAGTTGTGTCAGGACACTTTATATATTTTTATTCATAATATTAGGCAATAAATATTCACATCTCTCCGAATTTGCTTAATTTAATATATTATCTGTACACAAATAAGATGACTTCATATACCTTTTTTCAAAATTACACTTCAATCTGCACAAAGTCTCCAACATTCAAGGACACTTGTAAAGACAAGTGTGTTTGTCCATAAAAATCATCGATAACAATAAAACACATCCTTGACACTTCACTGTTGAATGTCAAAGCATGAGAAAACTTTTCCTATTTACAAATATCTCTGGTATTTTGTCAAATTTATAACATCTGTAGTTTTTAAAACATAAAAGAAGAATAGTTATATCCATTAAAATTGAAATTCATAGCAAACATTCATATAACAATGTAAAATATAATCAAAACACCTTGTAAAGTATGATTTACAGTATTAATGCAAGGACCCAATGGAAACTGCATAATACAGGCATTTTGGATGTGAAGATTGATGACAAATAGAGAGGCAACAATCTTTCGTGGAATGTTTCCTTCATACTGTGCCACTAGCCCTCATAGGTAAAAATACTTCAGCTGGAAAATGGTTTTGTTTAATAGAGATATATTAATTTAATATAGTTCAGAAAACACATTCGTTTATAAAGTGCCTTTTGTTTTCACATTCTGGGCCTTGACAACTTTACTAGAACTTTACTAGAAATATGCTAAGAATTTAGACACGGATGATAATGGTCATCACCCAGTGGTTAAATAAAAAGTAACAATGTAGACTAAAAATAATGCTGCCATGAGAAAATGTTTAGATTTTAGGCACAATGCTTTGAATTTAACATAAAATTGACATCAATAAAGAATTTTTCACCAAAATTAGCATAATTATGGATCAATATGAACTTAAACATGGTATTGGTGCAACTGTAGGTCTGAACAAGTTAATAGATAAAGAGTCATATAACATTACTGATATATAATTTTGTGTTAAAATTTCATATAATTTTATATACATAGGTTAATAATTCTGATGGACAGTGTTTCTAGGATGATAACAAACAGCACATCCACATACAGTACAAGGCTTTTTACAGCTGACTAGACATAGGAGTGGAAGAGGTCAGGCCAATACTGACATACTTCAAACAATCATACCGGGTGTAAGGTATTTGCTTTGTAGGTATATCTCTATTAACACTCAAATATATCGCTCTTATAGATGTGTACAAAAAGAGCAATAGAGCATTTAAAATTATTTAGCAAGTAAAAGCTGGACATCAATTTAGTGAAAAGATTATTGCATCTTGCAAATGCTATTTGCTGATGGTGCCCCCTCTGGCCGAGTGTGTGGGCTGCGTATGGAAGAGCGCAAACTGCGGATGAGGGGAGAGTGGGGAGTGAGGAGAAAGGGGGGGAGGGAGGCCGGAGCCCATGTTGCCCATGCTCCCGTAGCGACCCTGCAAAGATTATTGCATCTTGCAAATGCTATTGACTAATGATTAGTGGAATGTATGAAATCATTGTACTGTGCTTTGATCTTCATATCCAGCACAGCATTATTTGTATGGTCTCTGGTCTTCACATGTCCTAAACAGGTTCCCAGGTGAAGCAAACAGTTTCTCCAACAACCATTTTACCCTAACTTTATGGCTATACGCAACTGAAGCAAGCCTGTGGACAGTTTTATGTTCAAGTCTATATGTGCATGTCCACATGTCTGTAATCGGTTATTTCTTGTCTGAATATGGGATTTAAGGAGAAGTAGCTAAGAAGGGGTTTGGCTTGACCGCCAAATCAATGACATCTACAACAACAGATTTGAAAGCAAAGTGTCCTAAATGTTTTTCGTTATTGTTGTCGAGTATATATCCCACAGCACTGATCTACCTGAGAGCCTCCAACTATCGGTATGATGTATGTGTGCTGTTTGTGCTGTTTTTCCTCGGTAAGTTCCTTTGTTTACACTTGAGGGAAGCGCAGGTGAAAGTAGCAGAGTCTTAGCAGGCTGCGTTTCTTTTTCCCACTGGCGTTGTTATCGCCTTTGGCCCTGCCGCCACCCGCCTCCTCCAGCCTCGCGGCGGTCCCCCCTCCAACCACCAAAGGACCCTTCAGCGACCCCCAGCCTCGCGACTTCCCCTGGCTCACACTACCGTGCTGATCCGGTTGGTAGATTTGGATTTGGCGCGTTCGACCGTGCCCGTCCCCCCAGGTACGGCTCCAGTCTGAGCCGGCAAGGGCCCTTGCGGCCCCACGGCCTGTGAAGGGGGGCCTTGGTGCTGGTGGGGGAGAGGGGAGAGAGGCATAAGAGGGGTAAGGGGGGAGGAAGGGGTCCAGTGTTGTTGCTGTTGCTCCCAGTCCCCATTCCAGTCGTTCCTCTCTCGGTGTTGCTGGAGGCTGGCCCAGCGCCAGTCACCGCAGGTGTGTGTTGCTGCCCCGGCCCACCCCCCACCCCCACTCCGGGGCTCAGGATGGGGCGTTGAGGCCGGAAGCCTTCTGTTCCATAGCATCCCGGGAGCACGGTGGCTACTGGGTAATGCTGGTGAGGCCGCGGACTGCTAATGATGGAACCCTAAGACAAAGAGAGTTTGGGGAAAGGAGGAAAGACAGCAGGACGACAGAGCCAAAAACGAGGGTTCGGGAAAAAAGTGAGGGTGTGCAAAGAGGAGCAGGAAGGAAATGTAGGCAATAAATGAGAAAGAGAAGAAAAACATTGTAAAAGGATACAGAGAGAATGGTTGTTTCAGTGGGTGGGGAGGAAAAACAGGGGTGAGTTGATTAGGGTAATGAAACGACATTCTGTCAGCATCATAAATCAGAACATAATAACACAAACACATGCACCCAACTATCTATTACGTGTCCCGAATGCCAATAATGCCAATTTTTATATAGATTTGTAAGTTCAAGTGAGATTTAATTTCTATTTTGTGTAATGTGCTAACAGGAAATTACTTATCTGTGTAGTTGCCATTAAAATCTAAATGAAACAGCATTGTAACCCGTTCTACTTCTGTAATCAAACAAGTAAAACTGAATATTCAAATAAGATTAAAAAAGAGGAGGTCACTTGCTTACTGGAAAGACTTTAGAAAACTGAAATGCAAAATGGTTTCATGTGGGGCCTCGAATACTACATCAATCATCTGTAAAATCATAAAGCAATTAAGAAATCAATAATCCAATTATGAACTGGATAAATTATTAAAGATTAAATAATTCACAATTTGATAATCAAAAACAATCTGTTAAAAATACATATAAATAAGCAAATAGAACTGCAATATTGAATGCACCAATTGTGTAAATAATGATTTTAAAATAAAAATGGAAAATATGCTTATTTTACTTCTAAATACTTTTTTTCAGTATCTATTACCCCATTATTGATTTTCGGCTGAACCTGGAAGTGGCACCCAATCTGCTGTCATTAACTGCTGGGTCCCACTATTATTGAGGCTATCTTTGGTCAATGCTGTTTCTTGTGTGTAAATCATCATTTTATGATTGCCCTATAGTGCACGGATGAAGCATGTAAAATAAAACCATGTCTGTGCATTAAAAAGGTCTATTTTGAATTCATACTGGCTTAGATTTATGAGGGACATCTAATATAAAGTAGGCCTCAATATAAAAATCAACAGAACTGATATAACACAGTCACTAGTCCATGCATAGCACTGCACATACCAAACAAAAATGCACAAACCACCTCCAAAACAATAAAATGCACAACAAAACCATAAGAGAATAATGACAGACATATTTTGACATATATCAATGTCATGCTTTAATTCTGGGTCAATGGGATGTCTTCCAGTTCTGATGTCCTGGAGTAAAATCTACAAGATATTCAACAACGTCCCGAATGACTTCAGATCTTTACATGCAGTCTCAATGACTGATGTTATTGATTCATCGCCTCAGTCATGTGTACATTAACATTCCACAGACCACACATGGTCACACAAGATGCACACACATGGCTCTGTGTCACTGGTGGTTAGGACACATGCAAGATGGCGCCGTGCTTTGTGTGGGGAATTCCAGGCAGACATGCGGGTGGTTCGGGTTTGGGGACTAAAACTAAAGATACAGACCTCTGCTTCACTCAGACTTACTTCCATTGTACTGTCAAGGGAACCAACGCTGTTTCTGCGGCCACGTTTCCCTGTTACCCAGTTAGCAGATGTCAGTCACAACTGCTTTGTGTGTGTATGTGTGTGGGTGAGTGTAATGGCAGTCAGTGTTAATAGAAATCTTACTTTCTTGTTGGTGTCCGCAAATGTTGAGATTGTTTTTAACCTCAAAATCTAACCCCAAAATTAAAATTTTGCCATTTTGCCAATTATACCATTTCTTTTTTTAAATTTTATATTTGCCCCCAATGTAGAATGGTATTAAATTATCATAATTAAATTGGTTGCCAATCACAGCAAAGTGTCTCACCTGATTCAGACAGGTCCCTCAGTGAGGAGCTGAGAGCAGTACGTTTGAGGCCCTCTCCTGGTGAATAGTTGTCATCCAGACTAGGCCTTCCCATAGTGCCATTCACCACTTCATTCTTGACCCCACCCACTCCTCCAGCCATAATGCTGTTGGTGAGCAGGCTGGGCCGCATTACTCCCTTCTGCTTCTCCAACTCAGCTGCAGGTGGACAAAAAAACAAACATCAGACCTAGTCCTAAACAGGCAAAACATTTCCAGCATCAAGCAATTTGTCTGTACACATCCTAAAAGCCATTTTACGATGTGCCATTTTTATCTTGTTCACTGTTTGTTTTCTATGAGTCATGGGGTTGACCAGATAGGGTCACTGTAAATCTATAATGTTAATGTTGTAGTAAACCACCAGTAGAGGGCGCCAAAATAAAGTGTAGTTGATTTATGAGAGCAGTAGTGGGTGCTGTACTCACACTCCACTCTGTATTTCTCCATGTCCTGGACCTCAGCAATGCTCTCCCTCAGATCACTGACAAAGCGTGTGCGGTCCTGTTGACTAGGGGCCATGAGCACAATCAAAACTTTACGCTCACCGCCCGGGATAGCTGATGTTAGTCTGACACCATGAGGATAGTCTAGGGGAGAGAGAGAAACACATTATGTTTTATTCAGGGTTCCTAAATAGCAATGTCACATTCCAAATTGTTATTAATATATTTGATATTAATGACTATTTTTTGGTACTATATTAATAGGTTTAAATGATGTTTTAGAGCGGCATAAAACTAATACATGTTATATTCACTATAGAAATTTTCATAACTTTTTCAAGTCTATAAATAAAAATATTAAAATTCCATATTTCTAGGTTTTCCATGACCATTGACACTGAAGTTTTTTAAGAAAATTGTAACAAACCTGGGTAGTCTGAATATACTTTTTAAAATGCACTACTGTTCAAAAGTCTTAATAGGATGCATTAAATTGATTAAAAGTGTCAATGTTCAAATTTTGTATTCATCAAAGAATCCTTAAAGAATTTAGCATGGTTTTTACGGAAATAAATTAAGAAGCACAACTGTTTTTAACTGTGGTAATAGTAAGAAATGTTTCTTGAGCAGCAAATCAGCATATTAGAATGATTTCTGAAGGATCATGTGACACTGAAGACTGGCGTAATGATGCTGAAAATTCAGCTTTGCATCACGGGAATAAATTACAGTTTTAAATATATTATCAGAGAAAACAGTGATTTTAAATTGTAATATATTTCACATTATTTCTGTTTTACTGCATTTTTCTGTATTTTTGAGCAAATAAATGCCGTCTTGGTGAGCATAAGAAACTTTTTTTAAACATTACTCCAAACAAAGAAAAACTAAAATTAACTTGAAATCTTACAGGAGTTCTGGAACATGTGAACCTGCATCTCCACCAGAGGGAAGGACTGTCTGAAACTGTACGTTACGGAGGTTTTCTTCTTCTGGAAGATCTTTGTAACCTTGCAGTGTAATAACAAAGAAAAATAACAACAAAGGACTTTAATGTGTATTAACTTTTTTAGATGTTGCTAAAAATACTTTGGACCAATTCATTTTGTATGCATGGATAATTGATATGTGTTATTGACATTACCACAATCAGATCGTTGAAGAGGAAGACCTCTCTCTGGTGAACTCCAGACCTTTGAGGACGGTTGGGGTCCGGGACTTCATAGAGCTGACAGCAGCACACTAGTCTGCGGTGGGGCAAAGACAGAACCTACACACAGAGCAGATGTTTGCATTTACTTTGGAACAAGCAGTTCATCAAGAAGGTCAAAAAGTATGATTTCACACTGACAGAACACTTCAAAGTAACAAATCAGGTCTCAAAGATTCACTATTCTCAAAGATTCTAATCCAAAAAGATTTATAAATTCAAAATTGCCTCAGTGGAACTCACTGGTTTCTTGCCCACTATTACTCTCTCCACCGCCTGGACCTGAGAAACATGGTCATCGTTGGTTCTCAGTTCCCATTTCTGAATGCGCTGGTAGATTCCAACCAGTAAGTCACGTGGGATGTCCTGACCATTATCCACCCCTGAGAAAGAGAGAGAAAAAAATGGCATGCACACAAGAAGAGATTTTTAGTGTATTGCAAAATCCCTGACAATTATGTGCAACATTTAAGAGCAGTTTGAGAGTGTGTTTGTGGTTGCCCACTTATGTAAGTGCCAGTGTGTGAAGGTTTGAGAGAGATTTGAACATCACCTCTCAAGTTTTTGATGAAGTCGTCCAGCTTCATCTTCCTCTCCACTTTGATATTGGGGCTATACATGTCTGTGTTGAGGAGGATGATGGCAAAAGCTAGGATGAAGATGGTGTCTGGGTTCTGGAACTGTCTTACCAGTGCTGGATTACAAACACAGTACCTCTGACTGCAAGACAGATGCAAAGAGAGAAATAGTGTTTGAGTGCAAATATTGAAGGATAGATAAAAAACATGTGTTTTATAAACACATTGTTCCAGATCTGAAATCTGACGGAATGAGCCATGTGTGATGGCATTGTAAAATAGTTGATATATGTGCAACTCTGACCACTCATCAATAGCAATTTTCTTTTAACAAGACCCTTTAAGTATTGCTAAAATCATTGTAACCCATAGCCTCTCATGTAATTTAACGAATGTGAAGTACTAAGGGCCAGATTAACTAAACAGGGCAAATTAGCGCAAGAGCACAATTCCAAAACAGTGCCGATGGGTGTTGAAATTTCTGCGGGTGATTTACTGACTGTGCAAATTAAAGAACCCAGATGCAACATCTCATTTCCATAATGACAAACGCAAACTACCCAGCGCAGCGCAAATTAGAGTAAGGATATGTTCGGATTTGGATCATTTGTTTTTCTGGCATTCCAAAAGAACAAATTAGTTTAGGGGGAAGTCGTGGCCTAATGGTTAGAGAGTCGGACTCGTAACCCAAAGGTTGCGGGTTTGAGTCTCGTACCGGCAGTGATTGTAGGTGGAGGGAGTGAATGTACAGCGCTCTCTTCCACCTTCAATACCACGACTGAGGTGCCCTTGAGGAAGGCACCGAACCCCCAACTGCTCCCCGGGCGCCGCAGCATAAATGGCTGCCCACTGCTCCGGGTGGGTGTTCACGGTGTGTGTGTGTTCACTGCTGTGTGTGTGCACTTTGGATGGGATAAATGCAGAGCACTAATTCCTAGTATGGGTCACCATACTTGGCCACATGTCACGTCACTTTCACTTTCACTTTCACTTTCAAATAAATAAATACGTGCAGAAAAAATCTTCTCCCTTCTACCACAAGCTCTGTTCTCTGCTGTGCCTCCTCCTAGCAACAACAAATGCAGCCATTTCAAGCGCAAAATAGCTCAAGACATGCTTTTTTGGGCATTAAATAATGGCGCAAATACCAGTAATTTGACGAGCGCCAACGTTAGCAAATCGTGTTGCATGATTCATTTTAATCCTCTCCTCCCATAAATTTTGCGTCTGAAAGGGAAACTTCTACAAATGCATATTCAATAAGGTCAGGCGCAAAAATAACTGTGTCCACGCCTTTTCAGCGCTAATTCTTCACTGCGTGTCTTTAGTAAATCCTGACAGTACTATTTTAATTCCAAAAGACGGTTTGTGCTGGCGCAAGCTGTTATTAAGTCTGTTAAGTGTTTTGAGTGTTTTACTTGTGTACTAATTGTGTATAAGCACATTCACATACCTGAAAGCCTCAATAAGTCTTTCCACTTTTTGGGCCTCTCCTTGGACTTTTATCTGAGCTTGAAACTTCCTCAGAGCATCATCGAGATCCATTCCGGAAAAGTCCATTTCATCCACAACACAACTGAGAAAAACAAAAGTGGAAGAAAACATTACATCTATACATGCTTATGCCAAAACATGCATCCAATTGTTTGTGGATCAAGAAAAAGCAAAATATGTCTGCCTTTATTTTCTGTGCATTTTTTTCTATTGTGATAGGACAGCTCAAACATGACAGGAAGCGAAGTGGAGAGAGAGGGGGCAGGATTGGGAAAGGTCCATAAGTCAGGATTCGTAGCACAACGGCGCTGTATGTCAGTGCGCTGCCCACAAGGCTATTGGCACCAACATTTTCTGTGCATTTCTTGATGTAGTATTGTACAGTATATTATATTACTTCATTGTGAATTGTGCTCCAAGGGTATTTGGGCTCTGTAACCCCAAATGGATCCGCCAATTATTGTTTAATCCCAACAATTAAAACGTGCATGGAACAAAAGAGCATTATTAGGGTCCTTGGCCTGAAAAAGGTTGAAGACACCTGCTCTGTTACACTGCAAGCTAAATTATGTACATTATATTGTATAATTTATATAAAATGCATGCCTACATATCTATTCAGTATGAGTTAACTGAGGATTCAAAAACTAGGTAGTTGCTGTTAACAATTTTATTTTTTCAAAGCAATTTTTTTTGGAAAGTTATTTATTTAAACTTTTGTCATTTTCTTAATTTTAGAGGATTTATTGTGTGGACTCACTCCAATACATCTTTGTTGAACTGTTTCTGTCTATTTCCAAGGAACTCTCCAATCATCTGCCGACTCAGGCCTTTTCTCTCCAGGATAAAGCGAGCAATGCCCACTGGTGTGTCTGACACAAACCCCTTCTCAATTAGGTACTGAATACCCTTTTCTGGTTTCCTGCAGTTCAAAAACATCAGCATAGTTTAATCATATTTCAAACAGATGCATTCAGTTTGCTTAATTTGATTTGTAATTTCATAGTAATGGTAAATGGTGGGAGTGTTGTATAAAAGAGGCAGTGTTTCATTTTCTCTTACTTGTTGAAGAGGTTGAGTCCAATGCGATATTGTCTTCTCTGCACTACGTCGTTGTTAAAGGCAGGAGAGTCCCAGCTGTGCCGACTTTCTCTCTGGTAGGTCTGTTTCCCTAATGGGGGCAAGGGCTCCCGCAGACTATCCCTTGAAGAGGAGCCTGAGCTGCAATTAATGGTCTCATTAGAGTTTGTGGTGGAGTTCAGTGAGTCATTATCACCATCCGAGCAGCACTGCTGCTCCGAGCCACCAGGAGGCAGTGGTGCTGAAGAGGAGGATGAGAGCGGTGTGTTTGAGGGCTGTTGAGGAGAGGAGGAGGACGAAGGGGTGTCGGGGTACTGGTGATGATGATGGTGGTGGTGATGGTGATGATGGTGAGCCATGTGGTGTGGGATGTGCGATGGTATCGATCGGCTAGCTGGACGTGTTTGACCTTGTGCAGCTGTCGAGGATGTTGAACGAGCATTAGGGTTGTGCTTTAGTGTCCCTTGAGGTGATCCTCCTGCTGAGTCCTGCTCGTAGACTAGTTGTCTGCTAAGGGAGCCTCGGTCTGAGCGGTCACTCATGTCCACTGAACTGTCACTAGGTGGTTCAATTGTAAGTAATGGTAAGTGCCCTCCCCTTAAACGGTAATCACGGCACTCTGTGCAAGGTGTGCTTCGGCGGCTATTGCTGCTTCCTCCTCCTTCTGTGTCACGGCTATCTTCTCTACCACTAACCCCGCTTCCAACACCCCCCCAGAACTCAGTGTCTGTGCTGCTAGGGGCCCGGTCTAGAGAAAGCGGTGAGGAAGGTAGACCGTCGTCCATGTAAAGCGTAACATCACTGTAGGAGGTGGCTGTGCTGTCTTCGTGCATGCTCAAGCCCCCTGTACCTCCTCGATCCCTGTCTCCAAGACCTCTTCGTAAGGATACGTGGCTGTTGCTACTCCATATGCACTCGCCGAAGTCATCCACAACACCACTTCCATCCCCTATACCTTCCTGGGAATCATCTCGGCGTGGTCGACACGTTAGGGCATCATCAATGGAGTCGGCCAAGGACTTCACCTTGAGTACAAAGAAACAGACACTGTCAGGCAAACTACAAAAATTGTATCTTTAGGGTTTTAGCAGTGTCTCTGAGAGAGTACCCTTAAAGGTACAACTTTGTACATTATATACCAATTTGATCTCACTGCAATTCATACATATTCATACATATTTTACGATTTCGTATGTTTTCTGTGAGGGGTAGGTTTAGGGGCGGGGTTAGGGGTGGTCTTTTCATACATATTCCTACGAATTTGCCACCTTGTAAAATGCGTATGATTTTTCACAAAACTTTCTCAAAAATTAATAGGAATTAGTATGAATGACCACCCCTAACCCCGCCCCTAAACATACACCTCACAGAAAACGTACAAAATTGTATGATTTAGCCACCTCATAAAATACAGTATGTACGAATTGCTGTGAGATCAGGCTGGTACATAATGTACAAAGTTGTACACTTAAAGGTACTCTCGCAGGGACACTGTTGTAACCCTAGAGAAGGTGTATATTAGTACCTTCGAGTAACCTTTTAGGGGTAAATAAAGTTGTCCCTTTAAGGGTACTGCCCCAGTGACAAGTTGTTGTACCTCTAAATGTACAGTTTTTGCAAGAGCATAGAAACCACAGGATATGCATTTTTACATAGCATTATCTGGCCATGATCTGACAGTTTTGGAATCTATCTGCTGATGAAAATCTTGCTTTAATACAAAAAAATTTAAATGTAAACTGTCTGCTCACATAAGGTGTATGGGCAAGTTATGGACACTACCCCACTGAAAAAACCAGGTCAGACAGGTACGCCGAACTTTGACCAGCAGTCTTTCTGGTGAAACTAGTTGACCGAAAACATCTCGCTGGTTAAGCTAGTTATGAAGCCTGTAAATTAGCATCCAATGTTGGAGACAGATCAGATACAGTAAAACTGAGTACTGACTTGTTTTGAGAAGGAGTCCTCTAGGTGGGTGTATTCCGGTCGTGATGGGGAGCTTGGCTCTGTGGTGCAGGTTGGAGAATGCGGAGGACCCATTCCTGGACTGTGACTGTAGTGAGTCGGGGTGGGAGGTTGAGGCTGTCGGTCATCAAACGAGTACTGCAGTCGCATGTTGGAAAGGATGATGCGCCGTGTCATGCGGCTCTCAGAAGCTGAGCTGCGCAGGCGCTCAAAGTTCTTGTTCATGCGATATTGACGGAATGCTGTCTGGATGGTACGTGCTGCTCGTCTACTCACGAAGTAACCCCCGTATTTCTTCTCCAGCATCTCCACCTGCACAGCAAAACCTTCATCAGTTATATTTGATCATGATGAATCATGATTCTTTTTTTGCATGCCTTACCTTCTTGTCTTGTAGGTCTGTAGAGAGTTCATAACTGTCTGATAGGGCTTTGCACCTCTTGTTCTCTTCTTCCTCTTGCTTACGTAGGGCCAGACTAGCTGGCTGGTTGCGTGTACGATGTGCCCAGGCAAGGCTGGCTGGGCTTGGAGGGAGCACAAAAGGCACCCGAGGGCCTGGGGGGCCACAGCTGTTGTCCCCGTAATGGTCAGAGCTGTGCACGTAAGGAGATTTACTGCTGGAAATGTCTGAAAAAGGACGTGAAGCTGAACTCTGGGTTTCCTCCTCACTGAAAGGGGTGGGTGAGAGAGAGAGAGAGAGGGGAAAATTCTGAGAAATGAGTCTAAAACGCCCCCATAATGAGAGGATAAGATAAAAATCTCAAGCAACTCAGGAATTCATGACATTATTTATTTCCCACTGACTTAGCATTTTGACTTTCAGGAAAGCTTTAAACAGGGCAAATGTCCTAAACAAGCCTCAGGCTTTCCCAGAATTATCACACCAAGACAATTAGAGCAATTCTAGTTATAATTAAGATTTGTAACTGGAGAGAGTTACGCAAGTCTATGCCTTAATAAGAGCTTGGTTTCCTTTATCAAAGATCATAGTTTATATTTAAACAATCTATTAAAACTCAAAAATTCATCGGTATGTACTATCAGAAACTTGAAATGCAGTAGTGAATTTCCTGACAAATCAACTTCTGTTTTTGACTTCTGTACCTGTCATGTGAGAAGTTTTGGCATGTTTCACATCTGTGGCATCATATCCAACCTGTTTTCACCTCAACTCTACACTATTGACACCTCCTCATATTCTGTTCCTCACACAACAGCTCTCATCCTTAATGACTTGTAGTCTTCCGCTGCCATAAGTGACTCACTTATCCTCAGAGCAAGAGTTTGATTGATACACATACCGCCAAACATACGCAGCACACATAATGACATCAATTATGCAATCTCACTCAAGGGCCTTTATACCAAAATATAACTTGAAATAGATTCCTATGTTTCTTGAAGAAAATGCAAGTGGTGTTTTCCAGTCTAAAACTCACCATCATGACACTAAGGTGCTTTATGTAGTTACCAGAGCATCGCTTTGTGGTGGCATAACAATGGTTGTTAGCACATTGCTATGTTGTTGCTAGTATTCTGTTTGATTGCTAGGGTATTGCTAGGATGTTCTAGGTTGTTGCTATGCCTGCTTATGACATTCACTTGATATGGCTTACATCCTGTCAATTCAATGTAATTTAATGTTTTTTCCCCCCCAGTTGCTTGGAGAAGTAATAACATACTTCTCAGCAATCCACACAAATTGAGGTACCATTTATGCACAAACAAGTTACACACTGACGTTTAATACTTTGTGTTAGAGTCTGCAAACACCACTGCATAAGAAATTACAGAATAAGAACAAACAGACTATTGACACAGGAGCTCAGTTTACAGGGTCAGTCACCCCAGTGCAGAGGCGTTGACCCTTAGGTTTGCCATGGGAAACACAACAACATGTGATCTGAACTCATATTCCTGACACAGCTTTCTGACAGGACAGTGTGTGGGTACTTCTGAATCACTGCAGGCAACTTCCTGTTCTGTATGACTAAGTCAGAGGAGGTTATTGAAGGCAAGATATTATCATATAATGCTAATATACTGCAATTCAGACGTCTTACGAAACTATTATCATTTTGGTTAAATGATTTCTCACTCTCTCAAGCCCACACAAAGACACTTACATGGATGCAAATAACCCTTGTTTTGCTGTTTATCACATGTAACAACAGGTAACCATTACACACCTGTCCAGAAAGGGCCAGTTTGTACAAAAGCAAAATACCCTCCTGTTGTCCTCTATTGTATGTAGGAAAACAGAAACCTAACAGGCTTATAACACAACAGCAGATGTTAGGGTTAAATAAAAAAGGAAACTTTAACTGTACACTTACCACATTTACTAGAAAGACCCAAATAGTTGCATAAACCCATGCACATGAACATCCACCCTGAGAGCGAAAGGGAGGTTTTGCTTCCTACAAGTCCAAATTTGCCAAGGAGTCGCTGAAACCTCCTGGAATTCACCAAATGCTGAACTTTGTGGCTTTACAGTCGTTCTGCAGTTATGACCGACTGTCAGGAGGTCACCACCACATAGTCACATGGCAGTGCTTAAACCCTCCCTCCTCCTATTCTCTCTCCCTCCCTTTATTTACATTACACAAAGTGTGCTGGTGTAGTTCACTGAAGTCAGTAGCTCGGAAAGAGTGAGCGGATATGTCACTGAGGCTGGAGTTTCTGGCCAATCAGCTTTAGGATCTCCTGCAATGCTTGTATTTATCATCTTTTTCTAGTTTTTCACAGAGGTGTTTGTGGTAATTGTCTATGACGGTCATAAAAAGCAGTGTCCCTCTCTCCATTTCGCTGGTCTGTTTTATTTTCCACCCCTAATATGGGTGGTTTCCTGTATTTGTATGAAGTGAACAAAAGATTGAAGGGGGAAAGGAAGATACAGCAATTGCCTTTTGAGCTGTACTGTGGCAGCTGTACCCATAGGAAAGCAAAATCATAAATGAGATCTCTTTAATGTCTTAATTGTTTCTCCTAAATGCATTGAGATTAAATAAGAACCAGCTTTTAAGATTTTTCTTTCTCTTGAGAAAAACACCCCAGTAATCTCACGTTTAAGAAGAAATCTCAGAAATGTCTCAGATTGTGTTCATATTTGGCAAAATGAATAAGGCTGCAAAGAAATGTAAATACAAACTCAAACTTTTCTCATATTCATAATCATCTAAACCGAGCAATACAAAATAATTTTATAGCACTCGACTGTACAACAAGAATCGTCACATTTGCGTCTTCATATTTTTAGGAGAACCATCTGAGACAAAACAGATGCTTAAAGGGATAGTTCACCCAAAATGTTGGCATCATTTACTTGCCCTCATGTCATTCCAAACCTGTATGAGCTTCTTTCTTATGCTTAACATAAAAGAAGATTGACTTCCATAGTAGGAAGTCAATGGGGACCATCAACGGTTTGGTTCTTCAAAATATCTTATTTTGTGTTCAACATAAGGAAAGAAACTTATATAGGTTTGGAACAACATGAGGGTGAATAAATGATGACAACTGGGTGAACTATCCTTTTAAATGAGCTGGGTTCTTAGTTTCATTTAAATCTCTTGAAATATCATAGAGCAATATGATTTTCCTCTGGGTACTTAAAAGTAAGTTAACTTATATCAAGGACCAAATAGTTGCAAATGTATTCCAATATTTCTAATAATCAGATCAGATCATTGGCCTGATGCAATGTGTTTGTTTATTAAAGGAATAGTTCAAATATGAAAATTCTCTCATTATTTACTCATGTTGTTCCAGACCTGCATGACTCCCAACAATGGTATTTAGGCTATTTTAATAGTAAAATCATAAGGGCAATCGTTGTTTTTCTGTGCGCCATCCAGCACTTCCCTCCAGTTCAGTAGGTGATGGAAATACACCTTTTTACATTGCTACATAAAAATAACAGAAAAAACAGGTGAACAATTCTGCCACCTACTGGACTGGAGAGCAATGGTGGCCACTACAATTTTACTATTAAACTTGAGCCACATGCACTTTTTAGCTGATAGTCCTGCATGCTTTATTAGGCATTCAAGCACAATATACAGTCATGTATTGAATTCCTTAACCAAATATTCATTAAATTATATCCTTTTGTGTTCCATGGAAGAAAGAAGGTCATATATGTTTTGGAACGACATGAGAAGAAATAAATGACAGCTACCTGAAAACAAATTCTAGTTTCACTATCAAGACTAAGTGTATTTATTCAAGCATTTGCAATGATGTAATTGTTTTCTTTGTATAATAGTTCTTTGTAATATTGATTGCTAGATGACATCACAATTCCACGGTCTGAAAAGTGCCGTTGATATACTTCACAGCTATGTGTAGCTACAACTGTTCAAACATACACACTATTAGTTTATAGGCTACTTTACATAAGTAAATGGACTAGTTTCAAAGTTGCTTTAACTGGGTTTCGACTGGTTTTGCAGTTCTAGATGTCAACCTGCAATTTCATAAATCCCATAAACCTCCTCTGAGTGAAAGCTGCCAGTTATATCACAGAGGTTTGAGCAACCAAATAGCAATGCACTAAAACTAGCTTTACTTCTGTTTTACTTTAATACTGGTTTGGAAATTGGCTTAATTTAGCCCAATCTGGCATCTGCTGCCTACATGCAATGACAAACCTGTAGTGCTGTTTTATTCTGGGAATGCTGCTATAACATCTGCTCATAAAATTGTCGTCTTGCATCTCACATCTTCCTTTTCCCCATTCCTCCCACTCCTCCCACCCACTCTCTCTCACACACATGTAGGAGTGAGGAAGGTAGAGTTGCTTAGTGACAGTTGCCGTGAGACCACCGTGGGAGGTGAGGAAGTCATTAGAAAGAGTGTTGCTATAGATACGGAGCACTAATACAGTAACCGTGGGTGTTGGTGGATAAGTTGCAGGTTGTAAGATTGTAAGACTTTGAATGTTACAATAGATAATATATACAACTTCTTAAATATAAAGGTTCTTTATTGGTATCTATGGTTCCATGAAGAACCTTTAACATTCATGGAACCATAAAAGGTTCTTTATAGTGGAAAAATGTTCTTGAAAAATTGTTATTTTAAGAACTGTTCACTGAAAGGCACTGGAGAACCAAAAATGGCTCTTCTATTGCATCACTGCGAAAATCCCCTTTTGGAAACTTTATTTTTAAGAGTGCATTCAAATATACCTAGCTGTGTGCATGACGTAAACATGGAATATCGCATTCATCAATATTTAAATATAGCTACAGCATGCGTACATTTGAGAAAAAATTTAAACATTTAACCTTAATTGTCATTTTTAGGAGAAAGAGAAAAACTTGCATTAGAATTGTCAAAAAGGGATAAACTGTCTAAACTGGTTTATGTTCATCATGGTTCATGAAGTCATGTTCCATGATCTCTTTTTAAGTGTACTGAGTTTAAAATCATTATTTATAACCAAGATGTTATATATTTGCACAGCAACAATTAAAAAAATTAAATAAAATCTGGTGGTGTGGCTATGAGTGTTGCCAGATCTCACTAGAAAAACATGCCTTTTGGCCATATAAATCCAAAAATAAAATCCTCAAAAAATAATTCAAATATTATATATATATATGACTGTCCATTTAAACCAATGAATATATTTTTGGTTTTGGTGTAGAAGAGGGACCGGGAA